GGTGGTTGTGCTGTGGTTACACTGTCTACGTAGTCAACACACAGTTATACACAGGGCCTCACAGCACTGCATCGGGTGGTTGTGCTGTGGTTACACTGTCTACATAGTCACACATAGTTACACACATCTTGTACAAATCTCCCTTTGTGAGGTCATTCTCAGATCCTCAAGGTCATAAATAGCACAGCTTTTCCATCTGTCCCTTCCCAGTCACTGGCGAGTCCCCAATCACAGCATTCTCTTGAGACAGCACTAGCATGTTTTCCTGGAGTTGTCACTTGAAGTCTGGGGTCTGAATGTTATAAGAGAACTTTTCATAGTTAGAGATTTCACTAGGTCTTTATAGATGTAAATGGCAATTTGTATAGCTGTTATCCACAACAAACTTAATGGGCTAGTTGCTCAGGAAGGGTCAGTTTTATCTCCAGTGTCTACTGCTGAGATTCAGAGTATAATAATGTAATCTCTTCCTAAGGCACTCTCCCCTTTTTGGGGAACATGTTTATATGAAATTCATATACAGTGAAACCTCTGTAAGTTGACTACTCAAGGGACTAAAAGAAGCTGGTCAGCCTTTGGAGGTGGTCACCATGTGGAACGCCTGTTGAGTACATGTGGCCCATGTCTGCCCTATGAAAACTAGGTCCACTTTAGGAGGTGATCAATGTAGGGAGGTGGTTAACTATGGAGGTTCTACTGCATTTGATAAAAAGTAATCATATTGGGCATTTTGGTAGGTGATAGAAGAGAACTGAATCATAAACCATCAGAGAAATTGTTTTATAGAGACAAGGTCTCACTTTGCCTAGGGTAGTCATGAACTCCTGGGCTCAAGTGATCCTCCCACCTCAGCCTTCCCAAGCCCTGAGATTACAGGTGTGAGCCTGTGCAACTGGCCCTGGGCAAATGTTTTGATTCACATTATTTCCGCCCCCATGCTTACCTCCCCCACCTACGTTATAAAACCTCAGTACATGTAAGTTGTCATGAGACTGTGGATATTTCTTTAACCTTTGTGTCTTTTCAGCCTATTCCAGAGCCAAAAGGCGGGCGGCTCATCCAGGTTGAAGGCTATTGGATTTCAGTGGGCGACAAAGAGCCCACAATAGATGAGTCGTACATTCTGACGTCTTCTGTGAAGCTGAACCTGAGAGATATAGTCCGAGTGGTCTCTGCAGGGTGAGTGGGTCTTTATCTTTTCTTTTTATTTTTTTAAGATAGTCTCACTTTGCCACTATTGGTAGATTGCTGTGGTGTCACAGCTCACGGCAACGTCCAACTCTTGGACTCAAGCGATTCTCTTGCCTCAGTCTCCTGAGGAGCTGGGGACACCTGCCACCACACCTGGATATTTTTAGAGAAGGGGTCTTCCTCTGGCTCAAGCTAGACTCCAACCTGTGAGCTCGGATAATCTACCTGCCTCAGCCTCCCAGAGTGTTGGGATTGCAGGTGTGAGCCACCGCGCCTGGCCTGGGTGAATGGGTCTTATCTGTCACTCCTCTGAAGTCTATGCAAGCACAGGCATTGGTGATGTTCTAACTTCTTCAACTTTGAAGGAGTTTTAAATTCTTACTAACTGGACAACTGAATGATTTTTTTTTTTTTTTTTGTAGTTTCTGGCTGTGGCTGGGTTTGAACCTGTCACCTCTGCATATGAGGCCACCGCCCTACTCTTTTGAGCCACAGGCCCCACCCTGAATGATTATTTTTTTAAAGTCACTACTGTGACTTTTTTCCTGGCAGAAAGTATTGTTTCTAGTATTGCAGCTTTGGTGGGAATAATATGGGTGCCAGTGATTTTGGCCATCTTTTTCTTTTTTGTTTGTTTGTTTTGTCTTTTGAGACAGAGTCTCACTATGTTGCCCTGGGTAGATGGCCATAGCTTCACAGCTCACAGCAACCTCAAACTCTTGGGCTTAAGCAATTCACTTGCCTCAGTCTCCCAAGTAGCTGGGACTTTAGGCACCCGTCACAATGCCTGGCTACTTTTTGTTGTAGTTGTCATTGTTGTTTACCTGGCCCGGGTCAGGTTCCAACCTACCACCCTCGGTGTATGTGGCTGATGCCGTAACCACTGTACTATGGGTGCCGAGCCAGTGTTGGCAATCTTCAAGAGTTTTTTTCTTAATTGGTATTTTGCTGATCAATACTTACCAGTCATTATTTGGTAAGTAATAGTTCCACTTACTATTTTTTTTTTCCTTGAGACAGAGTCTCAGTCTGTTGCCCTGGGTAGGGTGCTGTGGCGGCATAGCTCACAGCAACCGTAAACTCCTGTGCTAAGCAGTCCTCCTGCCTCAGCCTCCCAAGTAGCTGGGACTATAGGTGCCCGCTGTGATGCCCAGATAGCTTTACAGTTTGTAGTAGAGATGGGATTTCACTTTTGTTGAGGCTGGTCTCAAACTCTTGAGCTCTAGCAGTTTGCCCACCCTGCCTCTCGGAGTGCTAGTATTATATACTGTTTCTCACAGGTATTGCTAGATAGGTTGGAATTGCTTTCCTCAGTGTTTTCTGGGGAGCTATTTTTACGTAGAAACTTCTCAGTATATAGGCGCACATAAAATGTTACATGATGTTAAATACTGTAGTAAAATGAATTCGGGTTTTGCCTTTTTTTTTTTCTTTAAAAGTTAACTTGTTGGCTGATCTTGTACAGAACCTATCCAGTGCTGATTCAGGGAGAGACATCAGTTGGTAAAACAAGCCTGATCCGGTGGCTGGCAGCAGCTACAGGCAACCACTGCGTACGCATCAACAACCACGAGCACACAGATGCTCAGGAGTACACTGGCTGCTACACATCCAACTCCTCAGGGAGGCTCGTGTTTAAGGAAGGTATGGTTCATGTTCCGCTCTGTCCATAGCAGGCGTTCATTCTTTTGGACCCTCTTCCCTCCGTCATACTCTCTGTCCTGTCCAGTGGGGGCGCAGGGACCCTTGCCCGGCAGCCAGGCTGTCTTTGCCCTTAGCTGTGTATGGTGCAGGGTCGTGCTAGGTCCTGCTGACCTTGCTGGCTATACATAGGAATAGGGCCAGATTTGAACAAAGGAGTTGAACTGCTGCCTCATTTCCTAGAGATTCAAAGAATGGGGTGTTAGAGGAAAGCTGGGAACAGAGACTGATGATTTAAATGAGGGAAACATTAAACAAGTTGGAAATGAGCTATCCGTTTGCACTGACTTCTTCAGTGGGTGACGGTATATTTTAATTGAAAATTGTACTTCCTTAATGTATCGTGTCACAAGTTGTTATGGGTTTAAACCACAAGTTGGTCTTATCCCAGATAAGTACAGAGTCATTTGCTTTGACATTTACGATACTCCTGAGTTTGTTTATATGCACATTACACATTTAAAAATTTTGACCTGACTTACACACTAATTCTCAGTGTTTGTTTCCTCCCAGGGGTTCTCATTGATGCCATGAGAAAAGGCTATTGGATTATTTTAGATGAGTTAAACTTGGCCCCCACCGATGTGTTAGAGGCTCTGAACAGGCTGTTGGATGATAACCGTGAATTGCTCATAACAGAAACACAAGAAGTTGTGAAAGCACACCCCCGGTTCATGCTTTTCGCTACCCAAAACCCCCCCGGACTTTATGGTGGCAGAAAGGTCTGTAACATTTGCCCCCTCCGTTCACTTTGTTATTGCATGAAATGGTATGTTTTTCTTGCTAGGAAGGAGATTGTTTTTACCTCTATTGAAGAATTTTTCTTTTTGTGGTTGATGACAGGGCTCTGTTTTGGGAATTAGATAAAAGCACTTCTTTTACCGTGTTCTCCCTGTGTGCTTAGGTGCTTTCTAGGGCCTTCAGGAACCGGTTTGTGGAGTTGCACTTTGATGAGCTGCCTAGTTCCGAGTTGGAGACAATCCTGCACAAGCGGTGCAGCCTGCCGCCCTCCTACTGCAGCAAGCTCGTCAGAGTCATGGTGGACCTGCAGGTGGTTTATTTCCACGTGCTGATTGGCCGTGGTGGTCACATTTGATAGCATTTTTGGATAAGAATAGAAACAAGAGTCTGTCCATTTATTTACTTAGTAAATGTCTTTAAAGTGCATTTTATCGATATCTATTTTTGGTTTTCTTTTATAACTCAACTTTGTATTGTACAATTTTTCTGATGCTTATGATAATGTTTCCCTGTTGGTGTTAAATATTGGAGCATTTTGTTTAAATGGAATAAACAGGCAAACTGAAATTTTTGTTCTTTAAATGAGTATAGCCCCCTCCTTTTAAAAAAGAAATAAGGTCTTACTCTGTTTCCCCGGCTAGAGTACAGTGGCATGATCATAGCTCACTGCAGCCTTAAACTGCTGGGCTCAAGCAGCCAACCACCTCAGCCTCTTGTGTAGCTGGGACTATAGGGGCACATCACCACACCTAACACATACAAAAAATTTTCAGAGTGTTGCTGTATTGCTTAGGCTTGTTGGCCTCAAGTGATCTTGGCTTCTTGGCCTCAAGTGATCCTCCTGCTTTAGTCTCCCAGAGTGTTTGGATTATAGGTATGAGCCACTGTGCCTGGCCTAGATGCAGTCCTTGAATGGACATAACTAAAGAGACCCATTTTTATGGCTCTCCCTTGCCAATTACAGACCTACGGTTGAGTTTTTCAAAATCCCATTTGTTTTATGCGGCTAAAGGTATTCCTCTCAGAAAGTATACATTGTCAGGTCACTTTTAAAAAGCTGATGATCATTAGCACTCTCTCCATTATGGTGCCACATTGTGGAACTAATCTGCCTTTATTGACACTGTTTATATTATTATATGTAGTCTTTTTGTCTATGGCATATGAGATACAGACTTCCATTGTTTATTTGTACTGTTTATTTCCACACGATTATAAATTACAGTCTACTTATGTTTTTAAAAAATAATTATATGCAGTAGAATGAAATCATTTTAGGGGGAGCTATTTATTTCTTAGGAATTATAGGTTGTGCTACAAGCTTACCATTTACTGCAACTAATGGCTCCTTTTTATATATTTTGTTCCTTTACTAGTCCTATCGTAGAAGTTCTTCAGTGTTTGCTGGAAAGCAGGGCTTTATCACTCTCCGTGACCTATTCCGATGGGCTGAAAGGTACAGACTGGCTGAGCAGACAGAGAAGGACCAGGACTGGCTCCAGCACCTAGCCAATGACGGTGGGTTGTCAGGGTCCCTTCGTGGTCGCAACTTATCAGGGCTCGAGACTGGCCAGGTCTCCAGCCCCTGCTTATCCCACTGCTATGCTGTTATCTTGCTTAGGAACAGTTGCTCTTAGGTGCCTGAGGGCTATTTATGTTAGCAGAAGGGAAAGAGAGAGAGATAATATTTGAGGGTGAAGTAGTCTTAGAAGAATAGAGCTTAGCAATCTTTAGCAGAGCTTAACAGAAAGATGCCGTGCTGGCATTCGTAAGCAGAAGTGACAGAGTCCCAGTGAGTGGTCTGTGATAAAATGTGCATACTCCTGACTGCCCTCTCCTGCAGCCTAATATAGAGATGATCTTGTGGCTCTTAACTCCACAGGTGTAGAGACTGCCAATTCACTAATATTCTCATCTCGCGAGCTCCTGTGCCTGTTAAGAGAGCTAAATCCCTCCCGTGCCCTTTTCACCAAGGTGTTCCATTATTGACCTACAAGTGTTACTTGTAACTCTCACTCCTCCTAGCCATGGGCTATATGTCTAGCCTTTTTGTTAAATCTTGCCTCAAATTGTGGTTGCTCTAGACATTTGACTAGGTGTTTCAGAGATCCTGTCTCCCTCTAGTCCTGTGTGCTTTGTGGGTGATCCTGTTCCCGCATGCCTCTGTACTAGTAAGGATTGTTTGCTAAGGTTTTGTTGTTACTCTTTGCTTCAGGTGGCCACACTTGGAAGTTAGCCTATGGCCAAAGCCGCTTTGGGGAGTTTAGGTGGATGGTTGGTGACAGCTCCGTGGTCATTTGTCTGTATTGTGGTCCCCACAGTCTGACTTGAACCTTAGACTCACGCAGAAAGCTGATGTGGCAGATTTTAGTGGACTCGTGAGAGAAGGGAGTTCTGTCACTTGAGACTCATGTTTGTTCAGTTTGGTTTGATCCATGGAAAGACTTTATTATTTATGATAAGATAAAAAACACATTGGAGTCTTTAGATTTGAAAAATGCTGATGACTCATTAATGGACTGTTTTTAATAAGACTAAAACTAGCACAGACAGTTGTACTTTCTCTTTACTGTCAAAGAATAGAGGGAGGAGTACATATTTTAAAGACTTGTATATTTACGTATGTACATATCAAATCACAAAGCATTTTCACAATTGGGTATCCCCCTGGAAATCACCACCTAGATCCAAATTGAGAATATTTCCACATCTCAGAAGGTTCAGTTGTGTCTTTTGGCTCTTCATTCCTCTGACTCTGTCTCTGCTGGTTGATGTCGCGTGGCTTGAGCCCCACTGAATGGACCGTGTAGTGTGTGCTCTTGGGTTCTGGCCTTTTCATTCATTTCAGTGTGGGATTCAGCTGTGCTGTTCTGTGTCAGGACTTTGGTTTTCTTGTTACCTGGTAATCCTTGTGGAGATACTGCAATTTGTTTATTCCCTTGTTGGTTGATGCTTGGATCCTTTCTGCTCTTTAGGTGTAATGCCTAGAGGTACTGTGGACATCTGTGTGTCTCTCAGATACAGAGGTGTTTGTGTGTGGAGACACCGGGGGCATATGGTGGCACAGAGCTGGTTGTCACAGGCGCTCCTGTCTTCCAGAACAGTCTCAGAGTGTCGTCTTCCAGCCCAGGGCATCGCTTGCTCTGTGTTCTCCATGTCCCTGCTGTCCCACCGTCTCCTGACTTCTGTCTTTCTCTGCCCTCCCCCAGGTTTTATGCTTCTAGCAGGTCGAGTCAGGAAGCAGGAGGAGGTGGATGTGATTCAAGAAGTCCTTGAGAGACATTTCAAGAAAAAATTGTGTCCTCAGTCTCTTTTCTCTAAAGAAAATGTCCTAAAATTGCTGGGTAAGCTGAACACCCTAGAGGAGTATGAGTTGAGTTGTACTCATTAGAATCTAAATATTTGCTCTGTCCTGGACAGGTAAGTTGTCCACTGATCTGTCCATGCTGCAGTCCAAGTTCAGCCACATTGTGTGGACAGAGGGCATGCGGAGACTGACCATGCTGGTGGGAAGGGCGTTAGAATTTGGTGAACCAGTACTACTGGTTGGAGACACTGGGTAAGTTCTGTGACAACACATTGTGAAGATTCATTTCAGTTCCATAGGACTATTTGAATTATCTCTGAAGTAGATAATATAATACTTCTCATGGAAGCATTCTATGGTTTTCCCCCCACCCTTTCTTTTTTTTTGGGTAGAGACAGAGTCTCACTTTATCACCCTCGGTAGAGTGCTGTGGCATCACACAGCTCACAGCAACCTCCACCTCCTGTGCTTAGATTCAGCCTCCTGAGTAGCTGGGACAATAGGCGCCTGCCACAGCACCTGGCTATTTTTTTGTTGCAGTTTGGCCAGGGGTGGGTCTGAACCCACTGCCCTTGGTACATGGGGCTGGTGCCCTACCCACTGAGCCACAGGCACCACCCTCCCTCACCCTTTCTTTCCTCCCTTTCTCTTTTTTCTTTTTTTTTTTTTAAAGTAGCAAGAGATCTACTGTTATTTACTTTCTTCTACCTTCAACTAGATTCTATGTGGACAAGAATGATTTCTTGCATCATTGTGTTTGGGGCTGTTTTGTCCTTTTAAACAGTGAGAGGCACCAGTAGTTAGAGAAAAACAGATGAGCTAGTGTCTCAAGAAAGCTCTGGGAGTGGCTTTCTTTTAGTGTTATTGGTAGATCTGGAAAGGGATGGAGTCTGTGCAGTGCCCACCCTTGTGTGCGGAGAACATGAGGGAACCCTGCTGTTCTGCAGAGGGCCCTAGTTCTGGGGTCAGAGGTCATATCTCCGTTGCTTTCCCATTTGCAAGTGGGATGCTTATGGCTGTGTGTTTGGAACACATGGCTTGTTAATCTGTTCTGTCTCTACAACAGATGTGGCAAAACTACCATCTGTCAGTTGTTTGCAGCCTTAGCAAATCAGAATTTATACTCAGTCAACTGTCACTTACACATGGAGACATCAGACTTCTTGGGTGGTCTGCGGCCGGCGAGACACAAGTCACAGGACCAGGTGGGTCCACTCACAGATGTCCATGTGTGCTTTCACTTAAAGAGCTGCAGTGGCCTCTACACCTGACTCAGCTGTGGGGCTCTGTTCCTAGCAGGGTTTTGGATCTGGGTTCTGCATGTCTTCATCTTCTCACTGCCCACTGTGGCCTCACGTGCACCTGGTCTGCAGCTTCAGTCCGCTGTCCTCAGACCCTCGCGTCCTGCAGTGTGACCACTCCCCTGCAGAGACAGGAGCCAACCTCATGGGTGTTGTCTTGTGTAGCCCCGTGCCCTTTAATTTCCCCAACTTCTTTTCCATATTGTAGGAAGAAATGGACACATCAAGACTGTTTGAATGGCACGATGGGCCTCTGGTTCTGGCCATGAAGGAGGATGGCTTTTTCCTCTTGGATGAGATCTCACTGGCTGATGACTCTGTCCTCGAAAGACTCAACAGGTACATATCTGAGGGGTTTGCCGAGTGTTTGAGGTTTGCATTGGTGTGATTTCTTTATTTTGAGACAGAGCCTCAAGCTATTGCCCTGGGTAGAGTGCCGTGGTGTCACAGCTCATAGAAGCTTCCACCTCCTAGGCTTAAGGGATTCTCTTGCCTCAGCCTCCCTAGTAGCTGGGACTATTGGCACCTGCCACGCCTGGCTATTTTTTGGTTGTAGTTGTCATTGTTCGACAGGCCTGGGACGGATTTGAACCCGCCAGCTCTGATGAAGGTGGCTGGTGCCTTAGCTGCTTGAGCTGCAGGCACTGAGCCAGGTGTGATTTCTTGAATCCTGTGGACTGGTAAAGCTCCTCACAGGTGTGCAGCAGGAATTTGAAAGTGTTGGTGACTTACCATTTCTTTTGGCTTTAGCACTCTGGGCCTCCTTTAAGAGACCTAGGAGACCTGGTTTTTCATTTTTCTTGTCTATAAGCAGAAAGGTGGGACTGTAGGATGGCAGTGCTAAAACAAGTGAACTTAAATTAAAAATATTTTTTAAGGCAGATTATATGCCTACTCTTACTTTATAGTTAGAATGAGAATCAGAATCCTTGATCTATGGCTAGACGGCATCTCAGAACCTCAGAGCAGTATAGTCCTGAAATAGCAATACCCATATTTTCCTCTTTGTTGAAGTATACTTTAGGTATTGTAAAATGTACAATTTAATGAGTTTTAGTAAATTTACTGAATTTGCAGCTATCACAGTCTTCAACAACATTTTTATGATTTAGTAGGATGCCTTAAATCTGACTTGATTTCTGATTTCGCCCCCCATTCCTGGCAGACAACTAGTCTACTTTCTGTCTATAGATTTATTTTCTGGATAGATGACAAAAGTGGTCTCTTCTCTCACTTTGCATTAAGTTTTTGAGGTTTATTGCGTACACATCATTAGTTTGTGGCTTTTTATTCCTAATTGGATATACTAATTTTATTTATTCATTCTCTAGTTGATGGTAATTGGGCTTTTCTCACTTTTTGGTTATTATTATTAATATTGCTGCCACTTACATAGAAGATACCCATTATAATTACTATTATTATTATTTTGACTGTGCCTGGCCAACATACCCATTTTTTTTTTTTTTTTTGAGACAGAGCCTCAAGCTGTCCCCCTGGGTAGAGTGCCGTGGCATTACAGCTCACAGCAACCTCCAACTCCTGGGCTCAAGCGAGTCTCTTGCCTCTGCCTCCCAAGTAGCTGGGACCACAGGCGCCCGCCACAACGCCCGGCTATTTTTTGGTTGCAGCCATCATTGTTGTTTGGCGTGTCCGGGCTGGGGATTCGAACCCGCCACCTTAGGTGTACGTGGCTGGCGCCTTAGCCGGTTGAGCTATAGGCGCCGAGCCAACATACCCATTTTAAAACAAATGCCTTAATAGGAAGTAAGTGGGAAAAGTTCTTTGTCTCTTGATTAAAAATATCATTCTAGAGGTGGCACCTGTGGCTCAAAGGAGTAATGTGCCAGCCCCGTATACTGGAGGTGGTGGGTTCAAACCTGGCCCGGCCAAAAACTGACCTTCCTCCCACCCTCCTAAAAAATTCTTATACACAGAAATTGAGATAGTGAGTCATTTAAAAATTTGTGATACCATTAAATAAAGTTGAAAGCTCAGCAAAGGGCCACACGTCCATAATGGCAGCACCTTGGGTGGCCCAAGAGACAGGAGAATTGCTTGAGACCAGTGATTTGAGACCAGTCTGGGCAGTGTAGTGAGACCCTGTCTCTAAAAAGGTAATTAACACACTAGCCAGATTTGGTGTACACCTGCAGTCGCAACTACTTGGGAGATTGAGGCGGAAGGATGGCTTGAGCCCGTGATTTCTAGGTTGCTGTAAGCTATGATTGTGCCATGGCACTCCAGCCTGGGTGATAGTTTGAGGTTGCTGTGAGCTGTAAAGTTAAAAAACTTTAATTAAAGTTTTTTTAAATTGAACTTATTTAATTAAAAACAAAAAGACCAGGTTCAGTGCCTGTGGCTCAAGCGGCTAAGGCACCAGCCACATACACGTGAGCTGGCAGATTCGAATCCAGCTTGGGCCTGCCAAACAGCAATGATGGCTGCAACCAGAAAATAGCTGGGCATCGTGGCGGGTGCCTGTAGTCCCAGCTACTTGGGAGATTGAGACAAGAGAATCACTTGAGCCCAGGAGTTGGAGGTTGCTGTGAGCTGTGACACCACAGCACTCTATCCAGGGCAACAGCTTGAGGCTCTGTCTCCAAAAAAAAAAAAAAGCAACAAAATATATATGCACCTTTTCTGATCTTCTCCAATTTTCTTTTAGTGTCCTTGAAGTGGAAAAGTCTCTGGTGTTAGCTGAAAAGGGCAGTCCAGAGGACAAGGATGATGAGGTTGAGCTGTTGACTGCTGGGAAAAAATTTCGTATCTTAGCAACCATGAACCCTGGAGGCGATTTTGGAAAAAAAGAGGTAAACTGTCTTTTGAATAAATTCCATATCTTTCTATTTTCTTGACTGCAGGATTCTAATACCCATAAATACAGCATTTGGAATTTTATATTTGATAAAACTATAGGTAAAAGGTAAAATTCCAAAAAGGTATTTTAGAATTATGATTAGGTTGAGAAATAATTCTGAACAGACATTTCCTTATCTGCCATCTCAGCTGGTGTGTGTGCATGGAATATCATTGTTCCATAGTCTCCTTGCCCTTCATGTGCATGTTACCCCACAGTGCTTTATAAGATCTCTGTGGGAAGTTATCATCCTAATTTTATCCATGAGAAGAGTTGGATCTGAAATCTGAAGTTTACTCAGTTTCTGGTTTTAGTTCATTTTTTTCTTTTTTTTTTCTTTGAGACAGAGTCTCACCATGTTGCCCTCGGTAGAGTGCTATGGCATCACAGCTCAGAGCAACCTCAAACTCTTGGGCTTAAGCGATTCTCTTGCCTCAGCCTCCCAAGTAGCTAGGAGTACAGGTGCCCACCACAATGCCTGGCTATTTTTTGCTGTAATTGTCATTGTTGTTTAGCTGGCCCAAGCTGAGTTTGAACCCACCACCCTTGGTGTATGTGGCTGTCCGGGTAACCACTATGCTATGGGCACCGAGCCTAGAGTTCATTTTCTTAAATGCTCCTCTGATTTTAAAAACATTTTTAAAATTTAATTCCAGGCCAGGCTTGGTGGCTTACGCCTTTGATCTGGGAGGCCAAGGAGGTGGATTGCCTGAGCTCACAGGTTAGAGACCAGTCTAAGCCAGAGCGAGACCTCGGCTCTAAAACAAAAAAAAAAATAGCTGGCTATTCTGACAGATGCCTGTAGTCTCAGCTGTTTGGGAGGCTGAGGGAGGAGAATCATTTGAGCCCAAGAGGTTACTGTAAGCTGTGAGGACACGGCACTGTACCAAGAGCGACAAAGTCAGAGTCTGTAAAAAAAAAAAAATTAATTCTACTTTGTTGTTGGAGACAGTGTCACACTCTGCTGCCCTGCTGGGATGCAGTGGCTCAATCATAGATCACTGTATCCTCCAACTCCTGGATTGATGTGATCTCCTGCCTCCAGCCTCCTGAGTAGGTAGCTGGGACTACAGCTGTGTACCACCACACCTGGCTGGTTTTGAAATGTTTTGTAGAGATCAGGTCTTGGTATGTTGCTTAGGGAGGTCCCTCTCCTCAAGATATCTTGTCTCTTCAGCCTCCCAAGGTTCTGGGATTACAGGCGTGAGCTGTTGTATCCAGCTTTATCAGTGATTTTAAAGTGACAAAAACATCATAGCCAAGAATCTCTTCTGGTTTGCAGATGAAACTTGTCTATTCTCCTAAGAGTTGTGTGAATCACTGTTAGATCTTTCCTAAAATAAGGGGTGATGGCAGCTCCTTCTGTTCAGAGGGTTGTGTTCAGATCAACCACCAACCAGCAAACCTCTGGTTGCTCTCATGCATGTGAAACCTTCCTGTGGAGAAGGCAGCATAATGTGCCAGACCCCTGTCTGTTAGAGGCCGAAGGCGGGTGATATAGTGGGCCAGGGATGAGAAGAAATGGAGGTTGATTTTGAGTGAACTCATTTAAGCTTTCTAGTAATTTGGTGAGTACATGAAATGTGAATATGATATTTTGAGCCTAGTTTCTTCAGTAACGTGTGAAGAAAGAGAACACTGTGCTTCCAGAAATGCTCTATAGAGGAGGAATAAAATGCATTGCTGTTTTAGACTGAAAATACAAAAATTGTATCCGTGGAACCTGGAAATACAAGAAGATACCTGATTTCAAGATTGCCTATTAGGTTAGCTTAAGTTTTCCTTCAGACAGGTTGCCATCTTTTACCTAAGGAAAAGCTACTTTTTGTTTTTGCGTGCCTGAGAGGCAGAGAAGCATTGCTTGGCTGGGATGGCCACATAAGAACTCTGGGGAGTTCTTATGGGAAGGTAGCTGTTTATGTTCTTGAAAGCATTAGTTGTAACTGAATGTAAAGTAAAGGGAAAGGAATCTTGGCTGCTTTGCTTAAAGGAAAGAGTTCAGATTTGATTGGGATTAGAATCCTGCTTATATTCCTTCCTCTGCAAGGACTGTCCCCTGTCTATAAAGAGTGATGGCACTGGAGCATGTAGAGGTAGTTAATGGTGTGACATTCCGTAAGGAGCTAAGGCAAAGTCACCCTTTAATTGTACTTCATAGCAGAGATAAAAGAAGCCTGCAATATTTGCTGGATTCAATAGCTAACATTTTTTTATTGGACTTGCTTTCTAGCTTTACTCATTGGTTTTAAATTCACATTGGAATTTCTGTTTCTTACAGCTGTCTCCTGCTTTACGAAACCGGTTTACAGAAATATGGTGCCCTCAAAGCACAAGCCGTGAAGACTTAATTCAGATAATCACTCATAATCTTCGTCCAGGATTGTCTCTGAGCAGAATAGATCACAAAGGTGAGAGAGTTTGCAGGTGGTACTGGTAAATGGTTGGAGGGGCGTTTGTCTTGGGAAGGACAGGTGTGTTACAGGATGTTCCCTGTATGTATACAGGATGTGTTAAACGGAGAATGGGTATAGAGAAATGGGAAGAAATTAGATCTCAGGAAAATGTGGTAGTACCTATTTGTTAACCTCTGTTAAATGATCCATTCCTTATATTTTAGTCATTACCAATTGGAGAATATCTTTGTAGAATTTAAATTCTATTTCTTCAGTTGTTATCGAGTAATGTATTTATCTCCACTTTAGTTATTTTTATTATGAAAAACATTAAACTTAAGGGAAATAGAATCCAGGCAGTCCCAGGTTATGGATGACCTGACCGTTCCATACTTACAAATGATTTCCCAAGGCACTTCATAAGGGTAATTTACAATTATATAATCAAATTAATAGTTGGGGGACTAGTTTCTTACATGCATTTTAACAAATCTGCATGACCTAAGCAGTTCATTGGCATTGCATCTTTACATTAGTGGCTAGTCTCATGTTCATGTGGGGCATAACAAAAGTTTTGAGATATACAGAAATCCAGAAATGTAAAATCCACATGCATGGAAGCAAATGAAGCCCTCCTGGCAACACTGAAAAGCTGAGCAGGTTGAAATTCGCGTGAAGGAATCAGAAGTGTTGCTGTTGACTGTGTTTCTTGGAAGTGAAATAATGGACCGTAACATAGTCTGTCTCAAAACTTTCATAGTGACTCTGGTATGTGGTTGCTTATGTATAGTATTACTTTTAACTTCTTCACTCAATTTTATCAGTTTGTATGTACCCTTATGACCATGACTCCAGTGTTAAAGTCTGTCTCAAGTCCAGTGAGCCTATAGTGAAGAGAGAGGCAGGTGTAACAAACGAAGTGGAAATGTTGCCTGGAGGAAGACTGGAGACCATAGTGCCAGGGGAAGCAGGAGGCTTCAGTCTCGTCAGTGTGCCCAGGGGAAGCAGGAGGCTTCAGTCTCGTCAGTGTGCCCAGGGGAAGCAGGAGGCTTC